TCAAGGGAAACATCTGAGAAGCATGAAACTCGAGTCTCCACATTTTTATCTCTATTTAATCTCATGGCAGTCTTATAGAAACAATTGAGATATTATAGAGATCTCAGTGTTTTTCAGTCCAAATGCATGCTCCGATCATCTGTTTTTGTCAGAATTTAATGATAACCATTTGAAGTTCACAGTAAAAATACCTCGGAGTTTAGATTTTGGCAAATCTGAGCACAGTTTGAGACATTAAATGTCCTCTGAAACTCAAAAGGAGACACATATTAAGGCTTTTTTTCCCCCTCAAGAGAAACATCTGAGAAGCATGAAACTCAAAAGTCATTATTTTCTTTCCATTTAATATATTGGGAGTCTAGAAGAAAACTTTGCAAAGTTACTGAGATCTTTTTTTTTTTTTTTTTTCTGTCCAAATGCATGCTCATATCATTTGTTTTGGGAGAATTTAATGAAAACTGCTCAACGTTTACACTGAAATTACATTTAGGCAAATCTGAGCACAGCTGAGACATTAAAATATCCTCTAAAATCTTAAGGAGACACATATGGGGTCTTTTTTCTGAGAGGCATGAAACTTAAACATAAACTCTTATTTTCTCCATTTAAATCTCACGGCATGTTTGTAGCAGCAATATATTTACGAAAGAGATCTCATTCACAACTTTTCTTTCCTACAAGATTGTTCGATTCCAGATATTCTCTAAATCGAAGAGCAGAGAGATCATCTGTCCCCGCCTCTGACAAGGCCATTGCTCCAGACTCACAAAAGAATACTCCAACTTCATTGAGTGAAAGGCAACACAAAGCAAACAAACCCCCAAACCGCTGTCACGCCACCCCTCCCCAGCAGGCCTCCGCTGCTCTCCCCTCCTTCTCAGCTCCCGCTATTCAAGGGAAATGTGTATTTCCCACACTGGAGTTGTCCAGCAGGGTCTGCCCGGCAGGGGTTTTGCCTCGGGCTGAACAGGGAGACGGACTAGAGGTTACATCAACACACACACCGCTGCGGCATGTCACATCCTCACCGCCGGTTGCCTTGGCGCTGTTAGCCAGCAGCTCCGGGCCAGGAGAGCAAAAAGCAAAACCGAGCTGCTCTACGTTTATACCTCGAGAACATCAGGATTTTTTTTTCTTTCGCCAAGTCGTTTATTACACATGGGTTTTTAAAAGCCTCCTTATCCCATTTACTCGGAATTATGATTATTCTAATGAATTATGATCATTTCTCGGTGCTGGTAACCTGCAATTATGGCGACGTTGATGAAGGACAAAGGTGAACATCTGCATTTAATAAATACTGCCCTGACAAATGGCACCCTTTAATCACTCACTGTCTGTTTTATATGCTACTGATGCGTTTGACAGACAAAACGCTCCAGACAGAAAAGCTCAACTGTAATTAATTTGAACATTTACTAATACATTATTAAAAGCAAAAGTTTAGATCTGTTTATTTAAAAAAAATGGACCTGAGCTATCATGAATTAACAATGCACAACTGTGTTTTCATTAAGATTAATAAATACTGCAACAAACATCCTGCATTAACTAACGGTAACTAATTACACAAATAATGAATGAAGACAGAACCAACAAGTGAATGAAAGTTTGACAGAGGAAGAGGAATAGGGAAAAGACTGCAAACAAATGAAAAAGACAGGAAGAATGAAAGGGCAATGGCAAATGGACAAATTAAGAAAGAATTAACATACAGAAAAAATAAAAAGGAGAGGCAAGAACGACAATAACATTAAAAAATACAAAAAAGAAAGAAGCGAAGAATAAAAACGACAGGAGAGAATGAAAGACCAACTTAAAGTCAAAGTGAAAGAAAGCAAAAAAAAACTAAGTAAGGAAAGAAAGAGAAAGCAATAAAGAACAAAAAAAGCAAAAGAGTGAAAGAAAGAGCAAAAGAAAGCAAAAAAGCATGAATGTGAAAGAAAGAAATAATGAATGAATGAATAAGTGAACAACAGTTTCAGAAAAAGACAAAAAGCAAAAGAAAGTGCAAACTAAGAAAGCAAAATGAACCAATAAAGAAAAAAAAGAAATTAAAAAACAAATAAATGTGCCAGACAAAATAGGCAATGAAAAAGGACAAAAGAAATAGCGAAAGGAACTACTCTGTTACAACAGATTTCAGATTACGATGACTCTGCCATCACATCTGGAGCACAAGTCTCAAAACACAGAACCACCAAACCTGCATCACCATTCTCTCTGCAACATCATCTCAAACACACACACACACACGCATCCAGCGCTGACCTGGCCGTCCCGCGGTGACGAACAGGTGCAGGTCATTAGGCCCGACGCTGCCACCTTCCCCTGTAAGATGTGCGTAAATCCTTGTTGTGGAAAATGAAAGAGTGAAAGTAGTTCTAATTACAAAATGTAAATATTGAGTTTTCCCACAATGGGAAACAGACCACCCAAGATGCAAAACAACCCCCATCCCCCCTCCCTCCCGCTCCCCTTCTCTGTCTCTTTCTCTCGGCCGTCCTGTCAGAGCGACAGGAGAAGGAAACCGTTTGAGCATCACCAAACGTAAATGCACACATACCAGACGTGCACATGTGTACACGAGCGGCCGCTGACATCACTGCATCATGCCTGCATAACAATCCATTAGCCGTGACCTCCAAACGTAACATCTATTCCTCTGGTCCTCGTGCAAAAGCTCGCTAAACACCCAGAGGTTCAGTGCGCGCTTTCGGAGTCACAGGTGAACGTCAAATACTTGACTTTATGGTGCTAAATACCTTTAAATGGCCTCCATGAGACTGTTCTCCACATATGGAACTGAGCAACATGTGGTCGGCATGGACCGAGCCCCGGGAGTTGCCATTTGTTGACGTTTGTTTGTACAGAGAGCATGTCGGTGAGTGATGGGCAATGGAGGTGAATGAGGGCTCAGCTGGGATCTAGAGCTCTGCCCCTCTGGACTCGAGATGTCTTCATTCTGAAGGTGTTCTAGAGGCCCTAAAACACCTCAGTTCAGAGCTGTTCTTCACCCCTTAGATGCTGGTTTGGTTCTACACTCTTAAAAATAAAGGCTCCAAAGGGGAGTTTGCACAGCAATGCCATAGAAGAACCATTTTGGGTTCCTTAAAGAACCTTTCAATGAATAGTTAAACTTTTTTTTCTTCTTATTCTAGTTTAATAACATAGAAACTTTTACCACTAAAAAAGAACATGTAGTGCAATGGAAAAGTTCCATCGTTTCTAAAAAGTACGAATTCCAAAAGGAAGTTTTGGAAGAAACATTTTGGTTCCTCAAAGAACCTTTCAGTGAACAGTTCTTAAAAGAACAATTTAAAAAATAAAAAGATTCTTTACAGGCATTTAGGTTCCATGAAGAACCTTGAACATTCAAAGTATCTTTTCATTGCACAAAAGGTTTTTTTGCACTCTTAAAAATAAAACCACTTTGGGTTCCCAAAAGAACCTTTCAGTGAACAGTTCTTAAAAGAAGCATTAGTGTGAAGAATATTTTAATAATCTAAAGAACCTTTTGTGCAATGGAAAAATTCCATGAATGTTAAAGGTTCTTCACGGAACCATAAATGCCAATAAAGAACCTTAATTTTTAAGAGTCTATAGTGGAAAAAGGTTCTTTAGATAATCAAAATGTTCTTAAGAATTGTTCAATGAATGGTTCTCTGGGGAACCAAAATCTTTCTTCCAAGGTATCACCATTTGGAACCTTTATTTTTAAAAGTGCATTTCTTCCCCCCACTAGAAAGAACCTTTTGTGGAATGGAAAACTTCTTCATGGATGTTAAAGGTTCTTCATGGAACCATCAATGCCAATAAGGTATTCTGTTCTGACAGCCAAATGTTGCATAATTGTTACATATTTAACCTACCTACAAACAAGCATATCGCAATGCTGTCTGTTCTTTGAAAACACATTTTAACACAGTAACTTAATTCCTATGCGAGTTATCATTAATAGAATCTATATCAATCAATTCCAACTTTTATTTTAGATGGGCACGGGAAATAAAAGTGCCTGGAATTTGAGTTTTATGAGGTTTAGAACACAAGTATTCTGGTTAAGCATCTTTATGCCATCAAGAAATGCTTTCAATGCAACAGTCAGAAATGATGTAATATATAAACTCTAGAGATGCCTCTTTTTTTTTTTATACTAGATGGCATCATTCTAGAGGTGTTTCAGTGGTGCACGACCCTGTGAACTCTAAACTGCTTTATTCTACAGGTGCTTGAGAGGGATCTGCAGACGATTGCGACAAACCCCTTAAGTTAAGAAAACCTAGTGATCATTTGTTTATAATTATAACTAAGAGTTGTTTTAGCGTAAGAAGTTTGTTGCAACCGGGCCCTGCCCTTTCGCTCTAGAATGATCCATTCTACACGCTTAAAAATAAAGGCTCTTTATTATCATTGATGGTTCCATGAAGAACCTTTAACATCCACGGAATGGACTTTCCATTGCACAAAAAATGAGTTTGTTTTTTTTTAAGAACTGTTCACTACAAAGTTATTTGAAGAACCAAAAATGGTTCTGTGAAAACCCCATCTTAAAATGGGACCCATCTACAACACATCCAGAGACTGAACTCTAAATCATTTAATTTTAGAGCCATCCTAGAGACTTTTCTAATGGTTTACAACACCTAATTGCTACATTTCTTAATTTGTCCAAACATTTGACACCGTGCATGTGCAATGAGCAAAAAAGACTGCTTTCTTTAACATCTAGCGAAAGCTATTTTACAGTTTGGTGCATCATTATTGCCGTCAGTGAGCAAATAAATCTATCACAAAATTCTCATAAACACACCTGCACAGCATAAACAGTTCAAAGATGTTAATAATACCTCTTTAAGTCTACTTCAGCGCTGTTTGGGGAAAACTGCGTCCCATAAGTTGTTCTTACTGAGCACAAATCATCAAACAGTTATTTTTCCCGGAGTCATTCTTCAGCCAAAAAGGTACATCTCATGTGGAGGGTGAAAAGGGGAGCTTACCTTGCGGGTTTCTGCTGGCAGAAGCGCCGGCTGGCTGCTGGACAAAGGCGGTCAGAGCGACGCTGAATAATCCAAAACCAGCGCGCATCAGAACAGACATGAACATCATGTTAAACACCTTGAACCTTCACACAGAGGGGCAAATTAAATAAAAGCGGACAATTGCGAGACTTTGAGTCCAAGCGTGGATGAAGCTTTATTCCCGGCGCTGGAAACGGAGCGTCTGTTGAATGAGAGAGAGAGTGTGTGTGTTTTAATTCTTGGTCTTGCGGAGATTGTGTGCGCGGAGATCAGGAGGAGAAACACGGTCGAGTTGAGCGCTCATGATCTCAGTCCTGCAGGAGACACAGACAGACAGAGAGAGAGAGAGAGAGAGAGAGAGTGAGAGAGAGAGAGGAAGGGGGAGGAGATATGCACCACAGCGCTTTGCTCTCTCTCTCTTTTCTCTGATAGTAAGTCAATGGTTCTTTATTGGGAAATGTAAAATAAATGAAAAGTTCTAGACATAATAAATGCAAACACATTAATTGTGCGGTTAATGTTTTTGCTAATTATTTAAAATGTAAGAACACAAGACATTGTCAAACTAAAACAGCAAACACGCTTTTGGCTGCATAAGAAAATAAATGGCGTAAGTATTGCATGTTTATTTCTAAAGGGCTGTTATTCATCCAGTTATCATCATGCTGTGAATGTTTTCATGCATTAAAGAACCGTTAAATAAAACATTCATTTCTACAATAGTTTATCAAACCGTCAGTTAGATTATACATTTTAGCCTACTTAAAGTTATTTATTTCAAGTTTAAAATGCTAGTATTGTCCTTCAAACTTAAAAAGCTCCAATTTGGCTGCAGACAAAAGCAAATCTCTTTACTAGCTCATTTACCTGTTCAATTTGAATTTAATTTGTGCAGTTTTAATGGTTGTGTTCAATGACAGATTGGGAGGAAAGGTCATTTTAAAGGAATAGTTCACCCAAAAATTCCTCTTAAAGGGATAGTTCACCCCAAAATGAAAATTCTGTCATTAATTACTCACCCTCATGTCGTTTTAAACGCGTAAGACCTTCGTTCATCTTCGGAACACAAATTAAGATATTTTTGATGAATTCTGAGAGCTCTCAGACCCTGCATAAACAGCAATGCAACTGAAATGTTCCCAGGTCCAGAAACGTAGTAAGGACATGGGTAAATCAGTCCATGTGACAACTTCAGTTTTGCGAAGCTACGAGAATACTTTTTGAGCGCAAAGAAAACAAAAATAATTAATTTTACAATTCTTCTCCCCCGAGTTACGTCTTCTGCCATTTTGGAGAGTACCCAAGAGCGTAATCGACGTAATCAGAGTTGTTTACGTTCGGGGGAGAAAGCGCGCGCATGAACGCAATCTGCGTAATCAGCGTTGTTTGCACTTAGGGGAAAGCGTGCGTATGTGTTGTGATACTCTAAAATGGTGGAAGACGTAACTCGGGGGAGAAGAATTGTTGAAAAAATTATGTTATTTTCTTTGCGCTTAAAAAGTATTCTCGTAGCTTCGCAAAACAGATGTCACATGGACTGTTTTACCGATGTCCTTTCTACGTTTCTGGGTCTGGGAACATTACAGTTGCGTTGCTGTCTATGCAGGGTCTGAGAGCTCAAAAAAAAAGTTGCTGACCGTTTACTCACTCTCAGGTCATCCGAGATGCAGATGAGTTTGTTTCTTCATCAGATTTGGAGAAATGTAGCATTGCATCACTGGCTGACCAATG